CAATCGGCACTTTAAAATTATTCCAAATTAAAGCAATTTTGGGGGCCTATAAAAGAATTATTCGATGTCATGGAATTATTATTTTTGGATAAATATACTGAAAATAGTCTTCTATTTCAGATTTTGTCTTTGAATTGGGTATTTTATTTTTTTTGAAAGAGCCCATTATAAAATTAATTTGGAATAAACTAATTTTGTTTTTATTCTTACATTTTGGCATTTGATATGTCAATTTGACATTTGACTTTCTCTTAAAATGTTACTTCAGTGGCGTATCTGTGTTTTTGTTATTAAATAATTATATTACCTTATTTAATTTTATTAAAAATACATTTTTAACAATTTTAATAAGTAATAACATTCACATTCACTCAATGTAAAATAAAACTACCAAATTACTGAGTCTACTCTAGGTATATACTTTTTATTCATTTTATTCCGTGACTTCTATATTACAGTGTATAGTACGAGAGCTAGCAACGTCGGAAAAACAAGTATTTTAAGACGTCTAGCTCTTTGATATATCTTTTACTATGCTCTCTAGAACAGCATGCGGCCCGTCTGGCTGCCGGTAAACGTTGCGTTCCCTACTGCGCATTGAAAGAAGATCCTATATTTTTATTAGTCCTTTAAATTCTAGTATTGAATATAAATCGAACATGTCTCCATAGCACAGTGCGTAGAGTTTCCGATCACGAACCGATGATTCAGAGTTCGAATCCGGGTCAGGACAAAGACTTTTTTATTTTATTTTTGTTTATATTCTGATAGTAAAGTATTTAATATTTGATTTTTTTTTAATCACCAGATTTATTTAATAGTTTACTATCAGAATATTAACGAAAATAAAGTAAAAAAGTATTTGCCCTGATCCGGATTCGAACTCTGAATCATCGGTTCGTGGTCGGAAACTCTACGCACTGCGCTATGGAGACATGTTTGATTTATATTCAATACTAGAATTTATAGGACTAAATTAATAAAAAAATAGGATCTTCTTCCGATGCGCAGTAGTGAACGCAACGGGTATCGGCAGCCAGACGGGCCGCATACTGTTCCAGAGAGCATAGTAAAAGATATATCAAAGAGCCAGACGTCTTAAAATACATTCTCAAAAACGTTGCTAGCTCTTAGACTAGTAGTTTTTGATAAGTTGTTATGTCATTTTTTTACTAAATGTCATTAGAGACCAATCCGGTACTTTGGCGCCTTTTATTTTCGATCATACGGTATATTTTTCTATAAAATTTGCACCATTTACAATATATTTGCACCTGAAATAAGTAGTGAGAATTTTTAAATCGTAACTATTGGTTTGTAGGAGATATATATATAGGTTTAATAGGGGATTATATGATTATAGGAGTACAACAGAAATTATTTTTATTAGTATTGGTTAAGTGATAATTACTATAGAAGTACCAATAAATACTATTTTATTAATTAAAAAAAATAATCATTGTAATAATTTACCTTATACAACTAGAGATTGTCATATATTTTTTTTATTTGATAAGTCAATTTTATTAAACATAGTGCATGGTTTGAGAATTTAGCATGGGCTACAAGGCTGCTAGGTAGAGTAACTTTGATTTTGAATAAGTTTGTTTAGTGCAAGTTTTTTTTTTAAACATTTAAACTGATAAATTTTTGATTAACAGTCTGACATATCTTACAACTGGCAAGCTTATTAAGTCGAGAGAAAATATTAATTTATTTGATTTTAATTCGTTAGTTTAATGTGCCTATTGCTAAATGTTTTATTTAAAAAGAATGTATGTTCGTTTTGTATTAATAAGGTATAATAAATGTCCAGGCAATCAAAACATATATTAAACTGCAAGGAACTGGAAGAATTGTTTGATTAATATATACTTTATACAGTGATCTAAATAGTTGGTGTACGTGTAAGTTTATAAGAAGGTATTTTAAGATAATTGTATAAGAAAATATTGAATTAAACTAAATTACAAATTGATATCAATCTGTATGTTACATTTTATATTCTATTCTAGTTCATTGCAAAATATATTCACAGTATATGATGTATTATTAAATAATTTGGTCTAGTAAAGATTTAAGAGAGACTAGGTAATGCAGTGTATTTCAAAAGATCTAAAAGGCTTTTTATTACAATTAAAAATACTAAATTATATCTGGTCAGCTAAAAAATATATGTCGTTACTGATAGTTGCCTGTAAAAATTAATATATGATTTTGAGGCAACTATCTTCTACCCAAAGTCAAGTTGGGTCATAGTTTATATATATCTTTAAGGGCTATTGTATACTGTGATTAAGAGCATCAGTGTATTTAAAAAGGTATTGTAGTAAGTATTATCGGGATTATCTGTTTTAATTACTGCAACGTCTGAAATTCCCACCATTTATATATATTTACCATATACAGGTTGTTAACTGGTCAGTTATTTATAGGGGAATAGAATGGCAACACTGCCTATTGAGAACGCATACACTTATAGGGTTTTCTGCCGACTCGTCCCGTCGCGTCGTCTATCGACAAGCGGGCCGAGGTTGCCATATTTGAACCATAAAGCTCTTGCCGCGAGTAATAAACAAATTAACAACCTGTATGCCTAATTACACAGTTATTGTTAAAGTTTTTTTGAAAACTTTTACAATATTTGTATTAAATATGCTATTATATATGGATTGCAGTCAGATAAGGCTAGATATCTCAATTGTAGTAACAATATTTCTCAAATTTTAAAGGGATATATGTAATTATTTTATTTTTTTTAATATGGCGAAACGACAACTGTCAAAATAGAGTTTTTTGTTTAATTATGAAAACAACAGAAACAGAGACCACAGATCATACAGATTATAAACTTTGTTTTTTCTTTATAGTTTTCGTGGTTCCAATTTTCGGAATCGGGTACTAGTTAGGTTACTAGTTTGCGCACATAGCACGCCCACTTATGGCCTCTAAAATTGTGCACAACGCCTGACCGGCACAGTTATTAGAGAGATATCGGAAAACCGAATAGCGTCATACAGTATTTACGCGTACCTTATCATGGTTACGATATGCGCGAGTCAATTTTTAACGCAACACCCGCTAATAACGTTACCGCCTGACGTAATTTGCGGATCAATTACACCAAGCGCTATTTCTAAATAACGTTTAAAAGTTGCTTAAATGGGCATGTGCGGGTATTTGACAACCGCAGCCGGCCGGCGAGATTTTTTTAGCACTTTAGGTTTGGATTATTACTTTAGTTTTATTAGGTAATTTGATATTTAAGTAGCTGGGATTAGCTTTAATTAAATAAATATGGCCCAAAATATGGATTCCAGCTCTTCGTTTACAGCAGATGACGACTTAGCCCGTCTAAGAGAATTTGTTGCTTGCTGCCCTAAACCCACTGGCAGACGTTGAACAATGAAGCACTGGATATAAGCACTTTAGCCCTTTAGTTTTAAAATACCTAGTAAACAAAACATTTCAAAGTTTTAAATTCAAAGTTAGGTTAAGTTTAAATAGCGGACGCGACGCGAACAGAATTCTTTCAGATCCGATAACTATAAATGAAGAGAGTTAATACCACCTTACGTAAAAGAAATAACACCTGGCCTTATTAACGTCCATGCACGCTATTCGGTTTAGCAATATCTCTCTATTACGCTGTTTATTGTTATTTTACGCGAGTTTATTTTTGCGCACAGGAAATTTTACTCGTTTGCACATCGTCATAAAAAACAATTTTCGTACCACGAATTAGGGATAAGATTTTTATCTGTATATAATATAACTATATAGTATGCCTAATCTGTGCAGAGACTTTAAGCTGAAATACATTTACTGACTTTAAATAAATACTTTACTACTCTATTAGTAGCAGTATGCAAATATTTGAAATACTGAATAACTCGTGATTTAAATTTAAAAGATCAGTATAAGTTGTTCTAGTGATTGTTATAGTGCCGATTCTGATGATTTTTTAAGCAATTTGTAGCCATGTTATTTCTCTACTCAAATTAAAAATTAAAGTCTCTATCTGTCTATTATATGAGGGGAAAACAAAATATTATTTTCGCGAAAGTTCTAAAAACCCTGTGGAATGATCTTACCAAGTAAGAAATATAAAAACTACTATTTCGGACTGGTGAAATGGACTCCTAATGCTAAAATTGCTGTAAATCGTTACTGTTTTCTTCAACAGCGAATATCTCCTCCAATAAAAATAAAGCTATCGAGATGAGCCAAAAGACAAACTATTGAGAAAAAATGTACCTTGGTGATAAAGTGGTTTTTAAGTTCCTTACTTTGTTAAATCATTCCACAGACTGATTCAAATCTTCACAAAAATAACTCTTTGTTATGCCATCGATAATAGATAGATGGAAACTTGTAGGTGGGGATGCACATATATTTAAAAAGTAACTATATCTACTCCAAACTGCATTCTGTGAAGCCGAGCCGGTGAAATGGGTATATAAATCTTCTGAAGGAATTTGCATAAGGCGCTAAGTTAGGCTGGCTTAAGCGTAGTGCGCAAGCCTGGATTTTGAATTATCGATCGGATAACTAGACCAATAAGAGACTAGACGCTAGCACCAACTGCTCATTCGTACGGCTTCGTCCAACTTCGTACGACTTTCGTTTTCCACTCCCGTTCGACAATTGGCTAATCCTCAGAGTAAGGGCTAATCGATATTCGGAATTTTGGAGTTGCGCTATTGCGCCAGTGTCTGCCTAACAGACGAACTTATGTGAAATATACATGGACCGGTTATCTAGTTGTCTCTAACTCGGCTTCAGCTCCAACACATTGCAGTTGGGACAGGCGATAATCTGTTTAAAGTTTATAAGTATATGGGGATGCAGTTCTAAAATTATCGTTATAAATATATCTTTTTAAATACACGAAAATTGTTCGTTGCCTGGACATTACTAAATCTAGAACAAAACCGAGCGATCGAACGTACGAGGCAATGTTTGAGAAACAAAATTCTATAATGAGACGTTTTTGACAGAAATGGACGATCCATCGGGGCATCCGTCGTAAGAACGGATCGCCCAATCGTGCCGGCCAATCTAATAGCGATCCTACCACTACCACACAGGTAGAAAAAACGTTTATTAAATTACCATCTCTTTATAGCTGGTCTACATCGGACAACTCGTTTTGATAAATTAGTTTGATCAAACATCTTATCGAGAACAGTGTGAGTTAGTTGGGCCGTCAGTGACTGTTGTCCGTCATTTTAGATCACTTTTTGAATGTCGTCTGTCCACGAATCAGTCTACCATAGATAAAAGAAACAAGTTTAGATTGGAATGCTCGGCTTGCCGCTAAAACTTATAATTATTTTGGGGTGCATACTTTGTACGGGATCTGGCGCTGCTATAGCGGTTGCTAAGAACAACCGCAAACAAGAACAAAAATAATTTTCTCTTGTCAAAGTCAGAATCTTCAAAAATTATAAAAACTTTCAAAATTTAAACTGCCCTCATTGAAAAAATACCGAAAAATATTTAAAGCGTCCATTTTCAAAATAATTATTGCTATCTTGTGAGTTTAATTTAAATTTATTTACTCAAACCCGTGATAATTGTGAAAAGAGACATTAAAAACTTAAAAAGCTGTGTGAACTGTGAAGTGCAAAAACCATCGTGGATCGTGACATAACGTCGGTTTCCAACGTTTCATAGGTATTTCATACATGTCCTTATATAAAATAAAGTTTCTTATATGCAACACACTGTATTTTAATTAAAAAATTAAAAGAAAATAATAAATTTGAATAAATAATATTTGGCGACAAATCCCGGAAAGCGACCGTTCTAAGAATAGCGCCAAATAGTATTGATGCGTTTTTCCTCGGTTCCGTGTGGATAGAAAGTCACAATTTATTTACACTAAGTACCAAACAATAACGATTAAAAGACTTAAAGAACTATATCCAAACTATTTATCTAGAAATAATTTATTTTGAATTTAGCGCGGCAACTCTACTCGTCTATTTATTTCTGTCCTCCTCAGGCACCGGGCGTCGGCTTATATACCCACAGCTAAACAGTTCTCGAATAATCCGTTAGACGTTAGATCATTAGGTGCATAGAGAAGGTTTAGAATGTTCTCGTATGTACTACCCCATTCCAGTGGAACTCGATTGTTCTCGAACGTTCGAATGAATCATTACGGTGTCTATTCTTTAATGCGATATTAAGGTCATATGGGTGAGGGACATATTAGTTAGTTAGGTTATCCCGAGTCCACACGGATCCGCAACAGTATTTATATTTTCCTTATGGGCACTTTCCAATCTAAACTTTTTTCCTTTATCTATGCAGTTTACTTTTGAATTAAAATGATAGACATTCTTTCTCGCGGTCGCGTACCGACCATTTACAGTTGAGAGTTGGAACCTTTGGTGTTATCAACAGCAAAAGAAAACACTGTTTCACTACAATACACCAAAACACTTGACTTTTGCATTGGACGCGCTTTCGTTAACCATTTTAGGATCATCAGCAGATAATTAAAACCATAAAATTATGTTAACGTGTTTGATTTTTAAAAAGTCAATATTATTAAAATAGGTCTAAAGAAAAAAATGTCTCAGTAATTTTTACTTAAACGTACTCGTTTTATATCTCTAACTACATTGAGTAAGATGTTTGATTAAACTAATTTATCAAGTAAATTGTCTGGTGTGAAACTGCTATTAGCTGCTGCACGAGCCTCAAAATTATTCATCGCACACATGCGCTTGTTTTTTTTCTATATTTCCGATTATTTTTGGGTTGCAGGTTCTAATTTTCCTTTTCGAAACTAAGACAGTGTGAGCATCTAAAATTTGGTTGGTTGGTAGATTTCAAGAATATAATGACTTATATTCTTATGGTGGAATACATCTATAATCCTGAAAAACATTGTTAAGATAATTTTGAAAATAAAAAAAAACAAAAGGAATTATTGTAAGGCTGTATACTAAGGGCTGACAAAGGTTAGTTTTGGGTCGAGATTTCCGTGTGTAAGAAGAGTACAATGCGTTTATAATGTACTGAACAAAGAGAGAACTGTAAAAACGTTGCCAAACGTATGAAATAAACCGAGAAACTATACACATTGCTAAGAGACGTGGAAGGGGATATAGCAGATTCGTCGCGGTCGACGATGCATTCACGATTTAATTACGTCTCGTGATACTTTATTTGTTTAGTTATTAACGAGTCGTTGTAATTTTCCCTATAGCTTGAAAATTTTTAAGTGCACGTTAGAAACGCTTGCATTCTTGGTAAAAATAAGTGGAATTGAGTTGGTGTTCGACAGTGGTCGCGTTATTAGAATTCAAAAATAGATATCTCGAAATGCATTAGAAATAATTGATTGTAGTTTTTTCAAAAGCTTTCTTAATATTTCTGCTATATTTTCTTCGCAAACAGTATGTGAAAATCTTTATCAATAAAAAAGTTACACGATTGCTGAAAATTGCAATGCACTAAAAGTAAATGGTTTTTTTTAAATTTTTGAATGGAACAAAAACAAGCCTATCGAATTTTTCTTATTTAAACATCTTGTAAAAGATCCGGGCTTCAGAATAAAACAAAAAGTTTCAATATCTAAAATAGTTCTTGAGTTATCGCGTGTTATATGTTAAAAAGTTGAGTTTTTAAATTATCGCCATTACTGACGATTTCTCGTTATAAAAAAATGGACACCCTAACGAAATCCTTATAATTCCATTTCAGATGCTCAGAAACATATCTAATGATTTTATCTAAACGTCGTACAAAATAAAAACCGTTGCATGTCATCGAGCACGTGCGTTGATTTTAGACAGCATTGTTGCCAGATTGTAATCGGAAGAGAAATATTTTTGGAAATTTTACTATAAGATCTATTAAAAATTCTAAAATAAACTTTAAATTCTTAACAGTTTTAAATAGTTTCAAGCAGCGCTCAAAAAAGATATTTTTAAACAAAACATGTTTTTTATTGTTTAAAACAATTTTTTATGGTTTTAAAGAACATTGTAAATCCAAAGTCGAAAATATGTTTAAAACATTTTTATACTCTGTTTTAAACCATATCGTGTTGAGTAATGATAAAGCCAAAGGACAAAACTTAATTTGATTTTAGAAACCTTAATGGTGCTCCTCCAAGTAGTAGTACAGAATTAATAGTTTATTTAGACAATATTAAGTTGAGCTGATTACTCTGTTTTTTATTCCTTTTGTATTATAGTTGTTTTTTTTTCTTATTTTGAAAGATTTTTTCTCATTTTTTATTGAAATAAACATCTACACACCAAACCTATTTAATACTCTGTTTTAAACAAATATTTAAAACAAGTAACGGTGTCTTAAAAACATTGTTTTAAACAAAATGTTTAAAACATAACAGTCTGGGTTTCGGGCAATTCAAAATATTATCTATTATAAAGAGGTGGTAAATGATTATAAAATATATAGGCAACTTTTTGAAATATTTCAAGAATTAATAAGTATTTTCCATAGAAGATTAGGTTTTGTTTCTCAAAATAAAAAAAAATCACTTCACTGGTCTACTTTAAGATACTTTATTATAATATAACGAGCCGTTTTTGTCCCTTTCTTTCTCAAAATATTGTATCAGAGATGACACTAATTCTTGGCACCGACTATTTAACTGCTTAGGCATTTTTCAAAGAAAAAACTAATAACTACTACTCAAAATATTCTGAAAACAACAGTTTTCGATCGATAAATGAAGGTTTTAAAAGATACACGAGACAACTCTCAACTAACGTTCAGAAAACTCTGGCAAATGTCAAATAAACGTGGCACCGCTGCAACCGCTTCCTCGGCGCTACCAACACAATAGCGAGTGGGTAATTTAAAACTCATTGAAAACGTCCCATAAGGGCTATATTTGTGTAGTGGTAGCACTGCACACATTTATTAGCCTAATCGATAGCCCGCAACGGTTTTTATTTTGTACGACGTATAAGTTATCTTTTCGAAAATAAAAGTCTTTTAAAAATAAGCGGTTTACGATCGAAGCGGTTACGATCACACAGAAAGCGTTTTTAGCGTGAAGTGTCTTTAGCGACTAAAACAAAATAACAGGATTATATAGGAGTGGCCACACCAAAGGCGTGTAGCGTTCGGCGTGTCTCGCAAAAAACGCAAATGAAAACAAATTAGTTTGTTTTTTGTAGCGTCTTTAGCGTTTTCTAAGATGAGACCCCGTCATAGGCGGACGTTATATTTAATAATACAATAAAACTAAATTAAATAGTATGCTTTTTTTTATTTTAGGGTATTATCTAAAAATATTTTTATAAAGAACAGCTACTTTTTAGGAAGATTGTATTAAATTCAAAAATTTGAAGGAAATGTTTGAAAAAGTGTAGTTTGAAATGTTGAAAAAGTAATAAATTAAAGGAATATTTTCTTACGCGTAAAAATTAGTTTTTTTATGCGTAAAAAGTGTTTTTTTTTTTCTGCGTAAAAAAGGTTTTTTAACAGAAACAAATAGTTTTTGACGCGTAAAAAAAATTTTTTTACGGGTAACAAATAGTTTTTTTACACGTAAAAAATATTTTTTTTGGGTAAAAGAGTTTTTTACTAGAAACAATAAGTTTTTGACGCGTAAAAATATTTTTTTTTAGTGTAACAAATAGTTTTTTACACGTAAAAAATATTTTTTTTGCGTAACAAAATTTTTTTTACCAGAAACAATAAGTTTTTGACCCGTAAAAAAATAATTTTTTACGTGTGACAAATAGTTTTTTACACGTAAAAAATGTTTTTTTTTGAGTAAAAAATTTTTTTTTACCAGAAACAATAAGTTTTTGACGCGTAAAAATTAGTTTTTACGTGTAACAAATAGTTTTTTACACGTAAATTTTTTTTTTGCGTAGGAAAGGTTTTCTACCAGAAACAATAAGTTTTTGACGCGTAAAAAAAGATTTTTTTACGTGTAACAAATAGATTTTTACACGTAACAAATAGATTTACACGCGTAAAAAATAGCTTTCTACCAGTAACAAATAGTTTTATACACGTAAAAAATAGTTTTCTACCAGTAACAAATAGTTTTATACGGTTAAAAAAGTAAAAAATAGTTTTTTAC